TGCGCACACTTTCTGCCTTGTGGGAAAAGATCTCACACATACAGAAAAAAAAAAACAAAAAAATAGATAGATATATATATATATATATATATATATATATATATATATATATATATATATACATAGACCAAAGTGAAAGAAAAAGGATACGTGTGTTTATATGGTTTTGCGAAGAAAATCTTAAAAGTGTGGTGTGCATTTGTATTCAGCCCACCTTACTCTGATAACTGCAAATAAAATGTATTAAACTAAAACTGACTACATGATAAGACTCTGTGTGTGTCATGAAACTAGTAATGTAAATCACCCTGGACACACCATGCTAACAGTGAAACATGGTAGTGGCAGTATCATGCTGTGGAGATTTGTTTTCTGCTGGTAAAGACGGATACACCAAAATGTCAGCAGCAAAAATGTGGTTCAACAAATGGCTGACTCAGACGGGCTGAAGAGAAATGCAACCCACACTTTTCCTATTTATATTTGTCAAAAAGTGTTTTAAAAGCACATAATTTTCACTCTTTGTGTTGATCAGTCGAATAAAATTCTAATAAAAACAAAATATTGCTGTAGTTGCATGACTAAATGTGTAGATGTTTAACATGACGTCTTTAAAAGACACTTTACATTTTTGTAAAAAAGAAAAAGAAAAAAAAAACGTACTGCTCAATTTAATTTTCCAAATCTGTCTTCATCACCCAGCTCCAACTTCCAGAGTCTGTCGCCTCCCAACGGCTCTCTGGCCTACAGCCTGCTGTCCAACAGCTCAGAGCACGACCCCCGCTCCACCTCCGGCTGGAGCAGCGACCAGTCGGCTAGGCTGCAGACGCAGAAGGACCTAATGAAGGCCATCAAGGAGCTGAAGCTCCGCCTTCCCACTGAGCGCAAAGCCAAGGGCCACTCCAGCACCCTGAGCGCGCTCAAATACGCCCTGCAGTGTGTCAGGCAGGTTCGAGGTGAGCCAGCTGCTTTTGTTGGGTTGTTTTTTTTTTTTTTTTTTTTTTTTTTTTTTTTAAGACCGGAACATTTAAATGGTAGTTGCGACAATCATGATGCGAGCTCAGCTACAGCCGCTTTTCCAGATTTACAGGTTAATATGTGTAGAAAGCATCAAAATACACTCAGTTTCTGTTGCACTTTGAATAAAAAGATGTAATATCCATATTTTTTTTGTGGGGGGGGGGGGAAATGATAGAATTTTTACAGTTATTGTAGCAAGAAAGAAGAAAATGTCAATAAGGCTTTTTCAAAATTACACTTTAGACAAGAAAAGTTTCTATTTAAAGAGGGATGATGATCTTAATCAGTCACCAGATGAGCAAGGAATCTAGTTATTTGCATGTATTAAAGTTTTTAAAATATGATGGACCTAATCTAGTTTTTAGACAACTGCACCAATGAGTGACGTTTCACTAAATGAGTTTGAAAAGGTTTTGAAAGCATGTCAACAAAAGGTAGTTTCCGTCTGAAGCATAAATATGTGCAGTTTGTTGAACTACGCTGAGACTTTAACTGGAACCGTGTGCTCAGGTTAGATGAGAGTGAGATTGATGTGGTATGAAACAGATGACCAGCATCTGGAAAATCACCTCATGCCTACTGTAAAGTACAGCGGAGGATCTGTGGTGCTATGGGCTGTTAGAAGCTGTGATGTCACGAACCATGAGATTCAGATGGAAACCCAAACTCAGTCTTCTCCATTGATTGCCTCAGACTTCAGATCTTAATCTGACATTGTGAGATCATTTTACTGCAATGAAAAGATTTCAACAAATTTTTTCCCAGAGATTGTAATAAATTCTTGTGTTTTCCAGCCAACAAAGAGTACTACCACCAGTGGAGTGTGGAGGAGTGTCATGGCTGCAGTCTGGACTTGTCGACCTTCACAATAGAGGAGCTCGACAACATCACTTCAGAATACACCCTGAAGAACACAGTGAGTTCACACTCTATTTATTTCTGTTATGAGTTCTTGACCGAAGAAAACATTTGGCCTCGAATATTTTCACTTTCACCTACTGCGCTCTATGAATCTGCTATACTAGTTTTTCTTGCTGAAGTCCTGCTCTCTGTTGTCCAGGACACGTGCTCTATGGCCGTGTCGTTCCTGTCGGGGAAGGTCGTGTACGTGTCCCCTCAGTGTTCGGCCCTGCTGCGCTGCAAGCCCGAGTGTCTCCAGGGAATCATGTTCTCGGAGCTCCTGGCCCCGCAGGACGTCAGCACCTTCTACAGCAGCACGGCGCCCTGCCGCCTGCCGTCTTGGGCCTCCTGCATTGGCTCCGGTTCGTTCATGTCAAGCCCTAAAAATTCTCGAAGTCAGGATTGTAATCCCGCACTGACTGACTGACTCTGCCCTCCTCGCAGCTTCTCCTCCCGTCGACTGCACCCAGGAGAAGTCCATGTTCTGCCGGATCAGCGCCGACCGGGCGCAGGGGGGCGAGATGCGCTACCACCCGTTCCGCCTGACGCCCTACCAGCTCACCCTCAGAGACTCGGACGCTGCAGAACCGCAGCCCTGTTGCCTGCTCATCGCCGAGAGGGTCCACTCCGGATACGAAGGTCTGTATTATGGTGTTAACAAGGCTTAATAATGATAAACACATGTAGGTGCAGGGATTCAGAGGAAGACCAAACAGTTTACAGTCAAAACAAAATGAGGGAGTCTGGTTTTAGGACTCAGGCAGGTGCAAAGTTTATGTAAACACAAAGCAAACACTGCACTTTAAACGTTTCAGTACGTGTCTTCCTGATGTCTGTAGAGGACGGGAGAATGACAGAGATGGACAGGCTGTGTGTCACTATTTAGCCCTGGAGCGCCATATTCCTCTGAATATGGATTACATGCACAGAAACCGACTGCATGTGTGCTGCAGAAATGAGCCTTTTTACATAAATTCATGCAGAGAGGGGGAATTATTAATCTTTTCTCTCTGGTCCTTTCAGCTCCTCGTATCCCTCCAGACAAGAGGATCTTCACCACCAGTCACTCTCCCAGCTGCCTCTTCCAGGAAGTCGACGAGAGGTCAGTGACCTTGTTGTGGTTACTGTTGTGCTGCTGTGTGCCGGCAGTGTTTTCAGCCCGCCAAAGCATTGTGATATCAACTAATAGACTTCAAGCTTTCAGTCAGTTCAGTCGCAGATATGGTTTTATCTCAATAACTTCTTGTTTACTTCCCCAGCATTGATGTGTTTTACTAATATACCCATACACTGGGGATGTCCTTATCAGGATTTGTTTTTTTGCGAAGATAGCCATCTTAGTAAGTTTACTCTTGAAACCAGGAGATTCGGCAAGTCCTGTGTATGCTTAAAATTTCATAGTACTTTAAAACATGGTCTTGACTTTTCAGTGTCTGCTTTTATTTTCGGCAACTACATTTTCTGAAGGATAACCTTAATATGTTGATCCAACATAAGGTTAAAAAAAACTTTGCTTTCTCATTTGTTTTCTAAACATATTTCTGACTTGAAACATACAGTCTTCAATACACTTTTACTCCAGCTAACAGTTGGCTGAGGGGCTAAGCTTTCACTAGTTGCTTTTATGACTTGTTGATTATTCAGCACTAACCTATTTCTGTGCAGTTACAGTTAATCACGTTTGGACAAAACTTACAGAAAAAGTTGTTCTCCTGGTTCATATTTAGCTCATTTTTTTTCAATGTTTTAAAATTTAATGATGAGTGTTTCAGCTGCTACATGAGTTTTCTGAGCAGAACGGTACACGACGCAAGCCGACAGTGGCGTTTCCACTGGGAACGTCGACGTAAAGAATGAAAAACTGTTTGCTACAGTAACTCAGATCACAACAAAATCACCCGCAAAAACTAGAATATTGATGAGGACCTCAGGTTGATACTGATCGTCACTCCTGTGGTTTTATTGCAACTTTTACAAATTCAGACATAATCAATCAATCAAATTTTATTTGTATGGCACATTTCAGCTGCAAGGCATTTCAAAGTGCTTTACATAATTAAAAGAAAACAGCATGTGATATTGAATAAATGGTAAGAAAGAAAAAGAGATTTTGAGAAAAAAAAAAGATTAAAAACCCGCAGCCCTTTTCAACCAAGGGGGACGACACCCGCACCCCTGTCCCTATCTGGGACTCAAACCCGATCTGGGACTTTAGTCAAAACATAAAATAAAATATCACACAACTGTTCAAAGTGTTTGGTGAAATAAAAACCATTTGTTCTCATGATCTGATTGTGTGCTTTCAGGGCAGTACCGCTTTTAGGCTACCTGCCCCAGGATATGGTGGGAACCCCCATCCTGCTCTACATCCACCCAGAGGACAGGCCAATGATGGTGGCCATTCATGAGAAAAGTGAGGCTGTTTGAGTCTCTTCTATTTTGCTAGTTTTTGTGATCTTGATCAATTATTATTCAGATATTTTTTGTTTTTTTGCTCTTATAAAAGTACTTTACCTACTGTAGATGCAGTCTGAACACAGTTGTCGATATCAGGCTGCATTTGTGATGCTTCAGTACTTTTTCCTTGTGAATGCGTCTAACCAGCCTTTCATGCTTGTTTTAAACTCCGTCTAAACTTGTCCCGCGGTTCGCTTTCAGTCTTTCAGTTTGCAGGACAGCCGTTCGACTACTCGCCCCTGCGGATGTGCGCCCGCAGTGGAGAATACGTCACCATCGACACCAGCTGGTCCTCCTTCGTCAACCCTTGGAGTAGAAAGGTGGCGTTTGTTGTCGGACGTCACAAAGTCAGAACGTAAGCGGTTAAAAAAAAAGAAGAAAAAAAAGTATAAACTTGTGTTACCTTTGAAACAAAGCAGAAGTATCACACTTCTGTCTCTCTCGCTTACAGGAGCCCGCTGAACGAGGACGTGTTCACCCAGGGGATGGGCTGTGAGAATCGAGTCACCACGCCCGACATCGTCCAGCTGAGCGAGCAGATCCACCGGCTGCTTGTCCAGCCGGTCCACAGCGGCAGCTCTCAGGGCTACAGCTCACTGGGGTCCAGCGGCTCCCGGGGGTCCCGCCGTTCCCACCAGCAGCACCCCAGTGCCTCGGCCGCCTCGTCCAGCGACAGCAACGGCCCCGCCATGGACGAAGTCGCCGCCGTGGCTTCGCACAAACCTGTGAGTCTTGAGACGCCGTTGCTTTCTAAAAGCAAGCACAGGCAATAAAACTGTTATATCCTGTTATTATTAACTCAAGTTTACATGTTTGAGGGTTGTTTTTCTTTGTTTTTTTAAGATGACGTTCCAGCAAATCTGCAAGGACGTCCACATGGTCAAGACCAACGGCCAGCAGGTGTTCATCGAGTCCCGCAACCGTCCATTACCCAGAAGAAACGCCAGCGCAGGTAACGCAAAAGCACACCTGGCTGATGAACGATCCAAGAATGTTGATGATGATGGAGCAGGGGGAACATACGTTTCTGTTCCTCTCGACGTTTGTCCAGGTGCAGCAGGGGTAAGAACCATAAACAGCGATCCAATCAGAGACTTGATAGCGGACATGACTCAGCCGCCCAGCTCCTTGGTCCCTGCGGCTCTTCTGCAGAAGGAGCCCTCGACCAGTTACTCCTACCAGCAGATCAACTGTCTGGACAGCATCATCAGGTTTGTGTGCAGGCTCAAAAACAGCTTTCCTCTTCTCTCTCTCCTTTTTTTTTTTTTTTTTACGCAATGTCCGTCACTCATCCTGTACTCGTCCTGCGCAGATATCTGGAGAGCTGTAACATTCCCAACACCATGAAAAGGAAGTGCGGCTCCTCCTCCTACACCACCTCATCCACGTCCGACGACGACAAACAGCTGGACGCCACCGGCAACAACAAAGGTAACCAAACTCCGACATCTTCCACTTATTACCTAAAGGTGACTAGTAGCAGAATGCATTAAATTATCCACATCTGCAGTCTGAAACAGAAATGTGAGCGTGTCTCATGTCCTGAGTTGCTAACAAATCTGGCTCTCAATGTCTCTGTGCATCTGAACTTCAACGCTGGTTTCTCTTCAGGTGGTTCAGTTAACCTCGTAAGTGAACCACCTCCTCTGCCTCCCCTGACCATGGCTTCGAAGGCAGAGAGTGTAGCCTCAGTTACGTCTCAGTGTAGCTTCAGCAGCACCATCGTCCATGTAGGAGACAAGAAACCTCCGGAGTCAGGTGGGCACTGTTATCACTCTCACTCTCCGCAGGTTCCTAAAGGAGAATGCCACGGACCTCAAAGATCTTTTCTTTCCTCTTTCTTAACTTTTCCTTAACCTTGGTCTGCAGTAGACGATAAGAAAGAACATTTTTGCTAATTTGGAAGTTTAAAATAAGTGTCAATTTCTGTGTCCTCAGTGTTTCAGGTTAGATTAGGAGTTTTTGTACATCAAGATGTTTTTTTCACAGTCTAATTATTGCCTTGGTAAAGCTAGAGGATTGAAAATCTTGTAGTTGTGGTTGATACTTTTAAATTTCTTAATGCATTAAAGTATTTAACTGCAATGGCAATCTCTCCATCCCTTTCAACTGAAAATTGTTGTTTTAAGCAAAAAGCAATTTGAATCTTCTGCTAATTATTTGATATTTAATGTTTGGCCTTTATTCACACAGTGCTAATTAACAGTTTACACAAATTTCAGTTCTTATCACAGAAATGATTTGGTCATTACTTTTTGGGACTTTTTTATTTATTTTGAACTGCTCTTTTTATTCAACAAACAACTTTAGCGATTTTTAAAGACATTACAACTGTATTGGAGATTTTTTTTTTTTTTTTTTTTGGTAATCCATGCAGGCTCAAAATTATACATACAGCCTTAAATTCCCAATCCAATACAGCTTTATTAAGTGCCATATAAAGACACCAATATTAGTTCAAAGAATAAGTCTAAAATTCTTGACCGCATGCTTTTTGCCAGACATCTACTGTGTTCTGGTGAAATCCTGAGCATGTAACCACTACTTTGTCAGAATTGGTAAAGTTCAGAAAAATGACTTTTCTTGCACAACCCTAGCTTTCAGCATGGTGCACAGCCAATTGTGATCTGTAGAAATGATTAAAGTTAATAGTTGTATAATTATTCCACTTTTGAAAATCAACAGCTTAGATCCAAAAGGTCCTTCATGAGGAGTGGGCAGGAACCCACTTGATCCGTCAGATTTGCAGATTTTAACTCTCACTTTAGTGTCAGATCGATCCTCCTTGTAGTGTAAAATCAAGCTTTATTTTCATTGCACGGTCTCAGGTGGAAGTCCGAGAAACGACAGTGCCCATGTAAAATGGTGTCGAGGAAGGACTTGTTTCGACCAAATCTTGCAAGAACATTTGGAAACATTCTTTTTGCAACTTTGGAGCAATTTGTGTTTAATTTGCAAACGTCTGGCCATTTCCTGAAAGTGCAGTGTTGGACGTTTACCGTCTTCCAAAACCAAGCAGAATTTGACAACGGTAATGCACAGATGTTTCAAATCAGGCTAATCAAGTTTTGCAAAAAAAAAAAAAAAAATCAGGAGCTAGTCCAGATCTTTGGAATTATTTTATGCAAAATTGCAGATTTTGCTGTTCAGATCACTGAGTTACAGAAGTTTGATGCTTCAATCATACTGAGTGAAAGAAAACTGTTTAATTTTAAATGCGTTGCTTTTTTCTCCCGTGCTTTATGTTTCTCAAGACAGTGAAACTGTCTTTTCTAAGTACTTTTGAAAATCATGCACAAGGTTTCCCCCAGAAAACTTGCTAAGCCCGGTGGTTGGGTGCTGGGCCAGTCATTCATCCAGCAGCTTTTTGAGTTTAAAAATGACAGGAAATTTGAAAATATGACTTGATAATTATGAGTTATTGAAAGACTGGAAGATAAATACCTGAACACCAACTACAAGGTCTTAAAAAAATGCAAACATTTTAAAAAGACTTAAATAAATAAGCAATGCTTACAGCCTTGTGGGGGCACAAGTAAAGCCTGGTGGTCCGCCAGGCTTATAGTACAATGGGGAAAACCCTGATGCATATTTTTTCTGTTTTATTTGATCAGACATGTATGCATATATCTGTTTGTGCATTATATTATGTAATGTTGTTTCAGCGTAAAAGCCATTTGGTTTTTAACATCTCGCCATTCCTTGTCCCCCGTCTCAGACATTGTTATGGAAGAGGCTCCCACAACTCCAACCCTAGTCGCCCCCCCTCTGGCTACCACCCCAAAGCCTCCAGCTACCACCAGCTCGACTCCAGTTGCTCTGACCGCCCCCATTAGTACAACTGTAGCCCCCTCTCACCTTCCTCCGCCGCCTCCTCCGCCTCCTCAGCCTCAGGCAAGTCAGCCGGAGAGAGACAGCTGGCGGAGCGGCAGCGTGGGAGGCGGGGCGGCAGGAGGGAGCGGTGCTCCCAGCCGGCTGGGCCTGACCAAGGAGGTGCTGTCGGCCCACACCCAGCAGGAGGAGCAGGCGTTCCTCGACCGCTTCAGCGATCTGAGCAAGCTGCGGGTCCTCGATCAGACTGCGTCTCTGAACGTGCGCGCCCACGCCCCTGCTGCGCTGCCACGAGGTAAGATGTGAACGTCACTCTTTCGGATTTAAGCCACAAACTTGAATGTGATTTATCAGGATTTTATTGTGATAGACCAAAACAAAGTAGCACATAATGTATAGTTTTCTGTGATACAAATAGAAATCTGAAAGGTGTGGCACACATTTGTATTCTGTCCCCATAAAGTCGACAGCCCAAAATGAAATCCAGTACAACCAGCTTCCTTTAAGATGCAAGATGTATGTTTTTCTTTTGGTGTATTTTTGTGTTATCCCAATTATCAATCTTAACAGAGAAGCATGGTAGTGGCAGCATCATGACTTTTGTTGGAAAATGTTAAAACATTTTGAAATGAGATTTTGATGCTCTTGCTGGATGCTGTTCATGAACAATTTCAGTTTGTGTGAACTAAAGAGGCAGCGTTTCACAACAGTATGAAGAGGAAATGTGTGTTTTCCTTTCTCTGTGGGTTAGGAAATGCTCATACAATTTTTTGCTTTTGTTTTGTTTTTGCTCAGGTGTTCGCTGCTCCCGTGATTACCCAGCAGCCGGAGGCAGCACCGCTCACCGCCGAGGCCGCGGTGGTAAGAGACTGAAGCACCAGGAGTCGTCGGACCAACTCGGCTCGCTGCCTGTGAACCGACAGGACCCTCGAGTGAACGCAGCCCCCGTTCCTCTAAACGTGCCCCTTGGGCCCCCCACAAACTCCCCCTCGTGGCCCTCGGTGGGCTCCCAGGCCAGCATCCCCGCCGCTCCCTTCCCCACTGGTATGCTCCCAATGTACCCCATCTACCCACAGATGCCCCAGCCTTTTCCCGTACCCGATCCGACGCGGTTCCCCTCCACCCAGATGGTACCTCCCATGATGGCGTTTGTTTTGCCCAACTACATGTTCCCCCAGATGGGGCTCCCCATGTCTCAGCCCGGCGCCGCCCCGGGGCATTTCTACAACCCCAACTACTCTTTCACCGGGGTGCCCCCGCACCCTGCTCTCGTCCCCGTCCCCTCCTTCTCCAACTCTATGCCCATGGTGGGCACCTGCGCCCCGTCCCGCAGCAGCACCCCACAGTCCTTCACGCAGACCCCCGCTGACCGGGAGGGGGCGGAGTCTCCCCTCTTCCAGTCAAGATGCTCCTCCCCTCTCAACCTGTTGCAGCTGGAGGAGACGCCGATCAACCGGTTAGAAGTCGCCACTGCTTTGGCAGCGTTGCAGCAAGCCCCGCCCTCTGTGCAGAGCGCAGCAGCCGGGGGGCAAAGTTCAGCCAATCAGAGGAGCTCTGACGATCCATCCAAGGAGAATGAGAACGTAGGTGGTTTCTGCTGCTCCATAACCCAATAATTTTCACCTCAGCTTTGAAACATCTTTTAGATGGTACTAAATGTTTTCTCTTCTGTTCAGGTTGAAGCTGTTGAGTCCAACCAGGATGCAATGTCCACTTCCAGTGACCTGCTGGACCTCCTGCTGCAGGAAGACTCTCGCTCAGGCACCGGCTCAGCCGGCTCCGGTTCAGGGTCCTCGGGCACGCGGTCCTCAGGATCAGGCTCCGGCTCCAACGGCTGCAGCTCCTCAGGAACCAGCGGCACCAGTGAGTAGATTTGGTCCAAAAGATACCACACACCTTACGAACATTTTCATTTTTCCACATTGTGTCACTTTACAACCACAAAATTCACTGCTAGCAGTTTTTGGAAGCAAACCAACACAATTGGTTTTCCCTTTTTTTTTTTTTCTTTTTTTTTTTCCAAAATAAACTCTATGAAGTAACTACCAGGTGATTCCAAAAAGCCGTTGGGTTCCATTGGATTTTATTTAGGGTCTGAACACAAATGCGTTTGAAATTTTCTGGTTTTTGAAATGCCAAAATGTTCACGGAGTGGGAACACTTCTGCAAGGCTCTGCATGTAGACCGAATCATTGAGCTGTCACCGTTTTGGTTAAACGAGTTAAATGATTACCGAGTTTAAAGGTGAAGTGTTCAGGGTCACAGAACGTTCAGCTTGACTCTGAATCCTCGACATGTTCTTATCTGGATGATGGATGCAAAAAGGTGGTGCCTTACTGAGGATTGGTAAAGTACTCTTGAGCTCAAAATGTTCATCTCTGATAAATAATTTCTTTATTTACTCTTATTCTGTGATTGTCATAAGAACATTACATAAACTAGTGAAAAAGGAGCAGAGTAGCTTTTTTCTTGTATTTTTTCATTTTCGAGGCCTTGAATCTGGTTTTGTCTGGTTATGTTGTTTCTAAACCATTTATTTTTATTCGACTTATCATTTTTGTTTAATGATCCTCGGCCTTGACTCGGTTAAACACCACCTCACATTCATCATTGTGAACCTTGATCATTTTCTCAGTTTGTAGTTTTAGATTTTACTAAACAAGGTTGTTCTGCTTTTTGAGATTAAAAATAAAAAAAAAAAAAAAAAGCGTTATGCTTTCATCTGAAGGATGAAGATTGAATAGGTTAATTATCAATCACTCCTAACCTTCTCAATGCGAGTCATTGATTATTTATGTCAGGAGTAGAGACGTCATCACACAGTGTGAGAGGGATTGAGTCATGAAACAGGGTTTTACTGTTAAAACAGGCTTGACGTGTTAAAATGTGGTTAGTGATTAGCTTCATTAGCACTGATGAGTGTAGGTTGCAGCCTCTAGATCCTTATGGTAACTTTTAAAACCTCCAAAATGCTGCAGACATCCCCAAATCCAACATTTTCTGTGAGAGAGCGTTAAAGCTCCAAAAAATATAACAAAACAACTTTGCTGGTCTTCATTCAGCCTTTTTGTCATCTACAGAAAGTCTCCATGTTCAAAGGGAGAATGAATGAAAAGCCGATAGTGTTTTCTTTTTGTGCTCTTTGATGCATTTCTGCACTTAAAAATTGCTAACTTCGGAGTCTGTCCATCTCAGAGTATTTTTGCCAGCTCAGCCTGTTAGCGGTTAGTTACGGTGTGTTCACTGACCAGAAAATTACCATTTGAATTTCCATTCATTGGTCACCTAGTAGGGAGGGGGACAATCTTGGATGGTTTATAAGATAATTTCCAACTATTTGAAGTCAATCGCTCTACGATTAGCAAAAATATTCATAGCTTCCAATTTTCCCAGTAATGGGCATTCCAGCAATTTATTTCCAGGAGCAGAGAAATTGAAAAACACCTAAAAACTCAAACGGCCTCGGTTCGACGTGGAAGTAGAAAAACGCAACATAAAGATGGCTGGAAATGAAAGTTTGTGCATTTTCTTTGTCTCATTCCTGCATGAGTTTAAGCAATAGACTTTATCAGCTGTGCATAATTCTTGCACAAACAATGAGAAAAGCAGCTTTGTATTAATTTCAGCTTTAAGAGATCAGTTTGTCGGATCAAGCAAACATGTTAGAGAAAACGGGTAAAGGCTGGAAAGCAGCTGGTTTTCCTCTCATAACCACTTCTCCCCGCCCACCCTGTCAGTTCTGACCTTTCAAAGCAGATCGCTTCTGTCACTTTCCTGTACTCGGTACTTTCTTCTCTGTTATTGATTCAGGTTTTCTGGAACACCAAATCAAACGCATTTCCTTTCATGTACTTCGCAGATGACTGGTTTAGTTTCACTATTTGTCGAAGCTGAGTCCGCGGTTTCGGCATCGCTTTGATCGTCACGTCTGATTATGTAGCTGTGGTGCAAAATCTCTTTATGTCTGCAAACAAAGAAGCAAAGCACATGTCCTCATCTCTGGAGAGGAAATCAGACATGTGCAGCGTGTGACGTGGAATTATGAAAGGGCGGCGTACGTAGAGTAGCAGTTTTAGGACGGAGGCCTAAAGATTGCGTGTATTCTTACTTTCCTGCTGCTCGTAGTTTGAGTCACGTAGCCACGCAGAATTTTCTGGGCTCACCCAAATAAAATGTTGCATAATCTCGGTTGAAATCTCAATTTGCTTATGAGAAATTGTCCACCGAAATCGTTTTGGAAAAAGTTGGGGTCACTGACCCAACTCGTAGATGTTGCGAACTCCTCAACTGACTCGGTAACATTTAACTTCAACTGTTTGTTTGTTTTTCATTGCCCCTCTCCCCACCCAATCAGGCAGCAGCCAGGGCACCCACACCAGCAAGTACTTTGGCAGCATCGACTCCTCTGAGAATGACCACTCCCGTAAGCAGCCAGCAGGGGGCGGTAGCAGCGCTGGAGGAGACAGCGGGGAGGATCAGTTCATCAAGTGTGTGCTGCAGGACCCCATCTGGCTGCTGATGGCAAACACCGACGACAAGGTCATGATGACGTACCAGCTGCCCGTCAGGTACCATGTGACTTCCCCACTCAGTCGTCTCATGTTTTAGCTGATTCTCGTGTTTTGCTTTAGTACGTCTTTTCACTACTATATGATAGAAAAACAGTTGGTTTTTTGGGAAAAGTAGGCCCATTTTTATGCTACTGCATCATTCGACTTTTGCTGCATCTACGTACTTGTAAAATATTACCTGTTGAGGGGCAACAAATATCACTTTTAAAATGAATAAGTGAACAAATAATCCTCTCCCTGTCCTGTTATGAACAGAAACATGGAGAAGGTGCTGCAGGAGGACCGCGAAGCTCTGAGGAACCTGCAGAAACACCAGCCTCGCTTCACGGACGAGCAGAAGAAGGAGCTGAGCCAGGTCCACCCCTGGATCCGTACGGGACGCCTGCCGCGGGCCATCAACATCTCCGTAAGCTCCCCCAGCACCGCCCGCGTCCCCAGCGAGAGCGCGCGCACCCACAGGAATGTAAATTAAACGTGCGTCTCTTTGTGGTTTCAGGGCTGCACGGGGTGCAAGTGTCCCCCCTCGGTGCCTCCCGCCACGCCGTTCGACGTGGAGATCCACGAGATGGAGCTGTGCACCGTGCTGAAAACCCAGGAGTGCAGCGGCAAGGACGGGAAGGCTCTCGCCGAGGCGGCCATGGACGACGTCCAGGTGGAAGACGAATACGAGGAGGACGAGGCACAGCAGAGGAAAGACGCCAAGGCGGAAGAAAATACCGAAAAGAAGGAGAGACTGGCAGCAGAAACTGTGAAAGACAAAGAAGAGACTTAAAATCTAAATGAGAAGCGCTTGAGTTTTATCACGTTTCTGCTGATCTGCAGAAGAAACAGAAAAAGAAACGCGCACCTTCCAGGACATGTAGAGCTCCACGTTGCACGCTCTTTTGGGATGGTGAGGTGCATATTAATCCACAACACTGCCATTTACTGCTGGACTGGTCAGACCGAACTGATCTAAATATCTGACTGTGATCACACAGCATCCGGCATGTTGTATATGACTGCAGGAGAAAGGCCTTGAAAACCACCAGATACTCCCACTCAGTTTTAGAGAGTGACTTTTAATTCCTTCTTTCCTGTTTTTTTGGGGGGGGTTTTTTTGTTGTTCTCTTTGTTCCTGTATACATATTTATTTAAGCTGTAAAGTTTATAGATGACTGAGGGTAAATGTGTTAGAAATAAAAACTGATGAGCCACATTACAGAGTCGAAGCTTGAGAAGACAGAGGGACGTCTCCTCTGTTACAGTTCTTCATATTGAATGTTTCTAGGAACACTGCTTTTTTTTTATTTTTTACTTTGTGTATATTTTTGTACTTTAAGCTCCTACAGCTATTGCTACAGAAGACAAAAATACCCCAAAAGGAATAAATCATGTTGTAAGAATTGCTGTTAAAAAAAAAAAAAAAGAAAAAAAAAAAGTTTTTAACCCAGAAGTCAAGCACTTTTGTTTGAGCTGCCCCTCGTTGTGGCACGGTGGCAATCACCAGAAAACTGACTGGCACTTTAACTGACTCTACAGTTCAAGATTTCATGTGGACGATGAATAATGCTGCTGTGACGGACAGTATTCCTCCGAGCGGTGGTCACGTTTCAGTTTATGTGTTGGCAGTGCTCGCTCGTGGCTTTAAGTAGCTTTTCTAAGAGATCAGCGCTTTTCTTCGTAAACACCCTGACAGTTTTCCCCTGTTTCCCGCCCCCACACACTCGCTTCTTCTCTCTTTCTCTGTCTCTCTGTGGCACTGTTCTGGTCATGTGATGTTCTACTCTTCATGGTGTCAGTGGCATCTGCAGCAGTTTCTTAAAACATTTTGTGAAGTTCTTTGTACAAAATGAAAACAATAAAAAAAAAACATTCAAATGTCATTAAAACATGATCCTTTTAGATGTTTGATTTTTTTCTTTTCTCCAGCTGTTAGTTTTATGTCCTTTGACACTATTTTTGTCAGTGGGTGTTTTGCAACAGTTGGCCCTGGGTACACAGATGTGTCCAGAAGGAGCTGGAGGCAGAGAGCAGATGAGGGCAGCTGCTTTTTCCAAACCCGGCCGCAGCCTCCTTCTATTCAAACTGCGGTTTCCACCCAAAGTGTTCACCGCAGCCTAAAAAAGACAAAGGCACGTCCTCGTTCAGACAAACAATGTGGGAAAGTTGACTTCACTGAAACCCTTTATTACAGTGATGGCAATAATGATTTTTATTGTGTGTCGAACCAGTTATGAGAGAGTAGGCGTTAATAAATTAGCTGAAAGCGTTTCTAATTAGAAACTTTCTTCCTGTTCCAAATTTGCTTGTGCTTTTTGATCCGTGGCCCAGTAGGCCTACATTTACAAACTACTTCTTTCTTATTTGAGGCTGGCTATTTAGCATTCTCTCCTGCACTTTAACAATTTCATCCCCTGGTTTCTAACAATGCGCGAAGGAATTTAAACACCGTGATCAACCTTCATATATGCTATGCTTTCCTTGGCTCGTCAGCTTTAGTCTAAACTTGTGCTTGCTGCTGTCATACAAAACAAAGCCAACCTTTCTAGAGTGAAAAGGCTATCAGACGGCATCTGACATGCTACATGCTGAAACGTTAATGTTTTGTTCTTTTTTTCTTGGCCAGACGAAAATGAAAACTATTTTCATGCCTTTGCAGCTTTCACAAAGCACCAGAGTAAAAAAAAAAAAAAAAAAAGCTAAAGTCAACATGCTAACTTTCCTAGCGTGAAAAGAGTAAGAAATTAAGCTAACTAGCCTTAAAAGCTAAACATAGGTCTTGTAAAACAATATGTAAAATGTTCAGCACTAAGTACACAACTATTCCCGAAGCTTAAATACAATTTACTTTTGAGGATAACTCTGATTTAAACGGTGCTTCCATGTCCAGGCAGCCTAAAGTTGTTTTGGCAACTTTGTCACAGGTACCAAGCAAAAGTCAATGTTAACTTTCTTACCAACACAATGTGAACAAAGTCTAGCGATCACTGTGCACCGATCCCCCTTTTTTTCTTAGTCAAATTTCAGCTGTGCTTTTATGTCCACATCCAGCTCTAAACCAAGGTGAGTAGTAAAGTTACATTTACTGAGTCACGTTTCGGGAAACAAAAATATACCTTCAGCATCTTCATTACACTTGAGTAATATATTGATGTAATGCTACTAGTAGATCTTACTCATTATACTGTCACAATATAGTGATAGTTTTAACATGTAAAAACCACTTTAGATGTATAATAAACATTACATTCTGCAGCTTTAAGATATTAACAGATATTCACTAGAACATAAGGGAGGTTGTGTGTGCAGAGTATTTCATCAGATTTGCACCGACAGATGTTCAAACAAACAGTTATTTAATACAGAAATTAAAACGTTTATGTGTTTATCTGCCATATTTGAGTTAGTGGGCTTTTCTGGCGGTATTTTAACTTCAAATGTACTCACTTATTTCTGAACGGTGTGGTATAGCATTTGTAAGCTAATGTTTAGTCATGGCTAACATCAAAGTTAGCCATAAAAGTTAATTAGCTCTACACTCTGAAATCCAGCCCATTAAAATAGGTTAAAACTATTACTTTGACAATTAATGTATGGTCTTGCAGGCTAGCTTAGTCCAGGGTTCTGATTTGTCTAACATTTTCTAAGTGACGGTTTCAGCACAGGAGATAAAAAGGCAGAGATTTTATAGCAGCTGTAGTTGCTACCATATGGATGCAGAAGTTTAAATAACCTATGTTATTAAAATAGTTATCAGATCACTTCCATTGATGCCGATTTAGCAAATACCAGTACTCTAAAATAAACATTTTGTATTTATGAGTGTTGGACTACCTGACAGCAGAAACACCGAAGGACCCCAAAATCCAGTTAGGTCAGACATACTTGGCAACGAAGCCAGATGTTTTTCATTCAGCTTCCCATGGTTTGCATTGGAAAGTTGAACCACACAATAAAATTAAGGGTAAAGAATATAATTATTCTCGTTGAAAACGTGACAAAAGAACAGTGGGTTATGGGCCACAATTGCCTGTGAGTAGCAAAAATCCACAAATATTTTAGGCTCCCCCTAGAAATGCTCATAACTGCCTATTTTAATACTTCAAACACCATACAAACATGGTGTCGAATGTAACATTTTACGAATAAGAAGAAGAAATTCCAGTGAAAGTAAATCTTTGTTTTTCAGCATGCACACACATTTTCAACAATTAGACTCTTGAATCTGTGGGTTGAGCCTGGTCATTGGCTATTTTGGTTCCAGCGTTACTGGAAAGGTGTGTAAAGATTAGAGTACAGTGGAATTGATTAGTCTGAAGAGTCCTGACCTCATTCGCGAGAGAGAACATTAAAGGTACTTTAGAGAAGAAATTGTGAGTCAAGCCGTCTTGTTCAACATCAGTGCCTGACTTCACGGTTGCTCTGCAGAACGAACGGTCAAATATTCTTTTTGTTGAGGCAAACCAAAAATATACTCTTAAACTTAACTCTATGTAGGGTTTAGTGTTTTTTTGGTTTGCTGGTGTATTTGAAAGAGCAAGTTTTCTAAATGCAGGCACTAACAAGAGTCCTGCTTATAGCTGGCTGTGCAGTGAAGTGGTTTTTACACATACAATCATGGCCATACGTTTGGATGTGTTTCAAGTTCAAACTCTTGACGAGAAAACAATTTTGCACTTTAAATCAAAACTTACTGTGCTGTCCATTTTTCTTGATATCTCCTGCTGTTTGTTTTTGCATGTTAGATCCGAGCTTGTAATGTCAGATTTAGGTTCTCAGTGGGCTACGTTTAGGGCTGTTTCCTAGCCAAAAATTTCAACATTTCAATCTTCTGACCTTTTAGACTCTTTGTTTTCACTATTGTCTTGTGACAGTGGTCCAACGTGCAGAGAAATACACAAACTATTTGGTTTGTTGAAGAGGTTTCTGTTAGAGGATGTCGTGATCTTGGGTAGAGATGTGGGTAAGCCCACGCATGGATTGGATGAGGGTCCTTCAATGTTGGCACATTGGACTTATAGCAGTTCTCACTTCATCTGCTCTCTGAACAAATCATTCTGGTCTAGCAATTCTGGACAATTGTCCTCCGGCAGAACCTCCTGACGTGAAGTCTTGATAGTTCAGAAAAAAAAAAAATGACTGAAGGTGTGCAAGGCCATTTTGAAGGAAGACATCAAGGGTTACATTTGTTCCTCTCCTTCAAATAATAAAATCGACCACGAGGTTTAAACAAGATTGTTTCACATCTTCACCTTTACTTACAATGCGACTAAAATAAATTAGGTTACTGCATCATCTGATTGAAATAGGGTCACAGAGGTCTCATGTCCTTGTGGAATATATTTTTGGGGATCCTAAGACGATCTTGGATCACGTTCACGGGGTTCTGGGAAAACTGCCACACAGTTTTCTTCCGGGGCAGATCACAAAACGTCCAAAGGGGAGATTCCAGGAAGCCTTGTGAAAATATGCCCTCTCAGTACACTCATTTTCATGCAAAGGAGCAGGAACTCTACTCTGACAGGCCCCCAGGTAACCTAGTTCCCAACCCTGGGCTCACTAAGGGCCAACCCAGGCACCGGACAGAAGAAGTTAATTTGAGCCACTTGACTTGCAAAACACATTGTGGTAAATGGCTTACTCGTGTCCACTTCACACCACATTCAGTCATTCACACACTGATGGTGACAAGCCACTGGAGTTGAGGCTGCCATGCGCCGGGATCACCTGTGTGGAGAGCGCGACTGGGGATGAGAACCTGCAACATCGTCGATTATGGGACAAACTCTTACTACTGTCGTCACTGCCGTCCCAGAATCAACGACAACGTCCTCGTTGTTTTACATTACAACTAGAGACATGACGAAAAGCAGGCAAGCTGCATAGACGTGCTGTAATCTGGATAAAATATGTGGGATACTTGCCGTAGCAGGGATTCTGTCCATTTTATATTTACCCTCTCTCCTTCATCAAACAACCTTCACTCAGCTTTCCTTTCATCATTGCCACCTCTTCCCTCCCTTTCCTAACCTCAGACTCTCTCCACGCCTATGCCTGACTTCTCCCTCCTTCCTCCGTCCTCCTCCTCTGCCGTCTCTCCTACTCTTTGAGGACAGCAGGATGGAGGACAGGGCATCGACTCTGTGTCTTCTTGTCTTTTCTTTGGCTTTAGGATGGACCGAAGGGCAGAACAACACAGACTCAAGGTAAGAGTTCATATCTGTTGAAACCGTCCTCCTTTTGTAGCTTTTTTTTTTTTTTTTTTTCCCCCCAAAATGTTCACAAGTGTGCACAAGTGGCAAGTCCTTTTCAAGATCAGGACTGGGAGTCTGGCCCGATTCCTTTATTGGGATCAGTGGGAGTGCAGTAGAAATGGAAGGGTTTAGTGTTGGGAGCACTTAACTGATTCCCTTAAACTTGCATAAAAGAAAATGACACATGTTGAAAATGACGTAGTAATTAAACTGGGCATATTCGCAGATGCCTTTGGATCTGGTGGCTGCA